CGTCGGCCAGGGTGCCCAGGCAGCCTGCGTCTGCCTGACATCCTATGGCTGTGTGCCTACCTGTGCCTGGTGCCACTTCATCCCTTGGCTGGTTCCTGGTCAGGCATGCAGCCGTCCCACCCTGGCCAGCTGAGCGTGCCCGTTTGAACAGCCAGAAGCACAGACCCTCGCACAGAGGAAGGCTGTACAGAAGTGATGTGGTGACGCACAAGCTTCTTCATCCTCTGTGCACACGGGTTTCCCCTTTACAGACTGTTATGTCAGACTTAGTCCAGCCTTTTAGGCAGAGCTGTCTGCTCATTTTTTGGGGGTCAAGGAGTCTGTGACACATGGGGGTACATGGCAGGCCTGGGGGTGCTCCATAGTGGACCAGAGGCTTGGAGGACCTTCCGGAGGGATGCAGATAGGCTGGATTAGCTGTTAGTTTAGGTAACACCTGAGAGCAACTGAACAGGGTGCTGTTATGATGGCCTCTGTGCTTCTGTCCAGATTCTACTGGCTTCTCTTCATGCTGCTGCATTTCTTTTTTTCCCCTTCCAGCTTATTTCTTCCAAGGTGCCCAAAGCAGAGTATGTCCCGACAATTATCCGCAGGGACGATTCCTCTATCATCCCCATTCTATACGTAAGTATGTCACTTCTGCTGCGTCTGGATGTGTGGGAGCAAGCTTCATGCAGAGTTTTTTTTGGTTTTTTTTTTTGTCCCTATCCCTAGTGCCTCTTACGGCGATTCTGAAACACTGGTGTGATTTGGAAAAGCTGTCAGGAAAGGGCTGGGGGTGTGCTGAACCCAGATTTGGGGTCTGGGGTAGCTTTGTGAGGGCTCAGGTCTAGGTGGAAGAGTAAGGTGGAATGAAAATGGCACATGTGGGCTGCCAGACTGTGCAGGCACAGCCAGGCAGCATGGGAAGATTAACAAGGGAAGGCAGGGCAGGGCTGAGCGCACAAGCCGAGTTGCGTGTTGCCAGGCTTAGGGCTCCTTATGCTCGTCCTTAGACAGGGTGAGCAGGACCTCAGAGCTCTGCAGTGGACCGTGAACCCCATCTGTGTACAGTGGTGCATCCCTGTCAGTCATTCATTTAACCTTGATTTTTCACAAGGAGTCCTGCCTGAGCAGGTGTCTGAAACACCAGCAAGGAGTCATGGGTCTCTTTTTCCTGGTCCCTTTATATTCATATATGTTCTGACAGCCCAGAAAACTCCGTCTCCGTGTGCAGCAGGCAGTGCTGCCTGGGGGGTTTAGCATTGCTGCCTCCCTCTTCCTTTGAGAGATGTACGGTTGTTCTGCTGACGCTGCTAGCCCAGAGGCAGATGTGTTGGGAGTGTGGCTGTTGGTTAGCCAGCTTGGGCAGGTGTAATGCCAGGGGCTGGCTACAAAACATGGGCCAAGAGGCAAATACGCCTTGCTGATGGTGACTACATCTGATGGTATGTGCTTTGGACTTGTCTGCAGGATTCATCTGCAAGCCTTTGGACTGACTTGGTCTTCGTGGACCATTCAGTCTTTAGCTGCTTTGTTGAGATGTGTTTTAGGGTGGTAATTACTGTGATGTGACTAGAAGCCATCACCTGGTATGCTTGTGCTCTTAGAGTATGTGTTTGCCTGGGAGTGGGATTGTGTGCAATATTAGAGACTATAATAATGTCATGGGAGCTGGTGTAGTCACAGTGAACCTTGATATGTCTTCTCTCTTGGTTTCCAGGACCATGAACATGCCACCTTTGATGACATCCTAGGTACGTGAATGTTATTTCCTTTTCTTAACTCCTGCCCGTTGCAAATGTAACTGATCAGTGTATTAAAGTCAGTCTGCTGCCCTGTGCCACAGCTGCCACTCATAAAGGTGTTTTTATCACCACAGTGACACCTGACAGTCAGTCACCTCCTGTTGGATGTGCTGCAGTAACAAAATTTCACTTCCGGAGCCCATTTTCTCTGCCAAGTTCCTAGTTTATGAAGGGGAAGCTGAGGCACAGGGCAGCAAAGGCACCATGCCCTGGGATGTGCTGGGGTTTCATGCTTTCTGCAGCATGAGAGCAAAGGGTTTGCTTTGACATCAATGGGAATGTAGGTGCTGAGCACCTCTCACAGCTCAGCCTCCTGCCTTTGGGACTAAAGTGAGAAGAAATCATAGAATCATAGAATGGTTTGGGTTGGAAGGGACCTCAAAGATGATCTAGTTCCAACCCCCCTGCCATGGGCAGGGACACCTTCCACTAGCCCAGGTTGCCCAAAGCATCATCCAACCTGGCCTTGAACACTGCCAGGGAGCCAGGGGCATCCACAGCCTCTCTGGGCAACCTGTGCCAGGGCCTCACCACTCTAGATGTTAGAAAGAAATTCTTTACTGTTAATCTAAATCGACCCTCCTTCAGCTTAAACCCATTCCCCCTTGTCCTGTCACTACACTCCCTGATAAACAGTCCCTCCCCATCTTTCCTGTAGGCCCCTTTAGATACTGGTCAGCCACAATTAGATCTCCCCAGAGCCGCCTTTTCTCCAGGCTGAACAATCCCAACTCTCTCAGCCTATCTTCATAGGAGAGGTGCTCAAATAAGATTAACTTCTAGCTTTCTCAATGGTTCATCTTTGTTAACATGTTTTGGGTTTTTTTCAGAGGAAATAGAGAAGAAGCTTAACATTTATCGGAAAGGCTGCAAAATCTGGAAGATGCTGATATTTTGCCAGGTACATGAAAGTTGTTAAGCACTTGGGTGGTTTGTTACAAATTTGTCCCTTTCTACAGGGAAAATTACATAGAGGAACCAAATACTCCAAAGTCAGGTTCTGTTAAAGTAACTGCATGTGTACAGCTTTCATTTCTCATTTCCCCAGACAATGAGCAGTCTCAAATTGCTGTGACAGCAGGAAGTAAAATCTGATTTAGTGTGGCCAACTCCCGAGCTGGGCTGCTTCTCAGCTTTCAAGGAAACCCAGGCAAACCAGCGTTAGCGCAGACCTTAAAAGGAGGATTCCGGAGAAAGGAGCAAGCATTTGCAATGTGATGGTTGTGGTTTTCAGACACGTTCAGTGTGACAGTGACAGTGGTGCATGTTGTGGGTCAGACCGGAGAACAGCACAGCTCGGAGCTGCAGGCCAGCGTGCGTGGCAGAGGGGTCAGGGTACAGGCTTGCCGAGCTGTGGGTGGGACAGATTCAGGCCCTGTTGGATCTGGGGCTTGCCGGGGATTTCCTTTCCAAGCCTCTTGTTCCTCAGGGTGGTCAGCTTTGGATTTCCCCGGCAGCTGTGCAAGGAACCTTGAAATGAGAAGTTAGGAAGGTAACCTAACTTGAACTCCCTCCCATGTGCCTAATGCTGCAAAATCGCAGGGTTTGCAGCACACCAATCTGGAGACTGTGACTTGATTTTCCTGATGTTGGGCTCAATCTTCTGCCTGCTACTGCCAAAGTCCCGTTCTACGCTGACGTCTTGCCTGCTTATCCCTGCTTTGCTCAGCTTCTCGTCTGCCTACGACGGCAAGTCCCCTAGCATCCCCAAATGAAAGGAACTTTCTTGTCTTCCCTATTGCTCTCCAGCCACCCACAATGAAGATTTTTGTCTATTATTGTGCCTTTCTAGAGTGAGGTGGGCATATAACAGTAAAAACCAGAGAATCCAACCCCTGTATGTGAATATTTCCTGAGCAAGTGCTGGCAGCGTCTGCTATGGAGGTGGTAGCAGTCGTGCCAGCCTGGCGTATCTGTTCTGCTCCCTTGTGGCACTTCTGGGTATGACTCTGCAGGACAAAAAAACATATCCAGGGTTTGTTTCCTCAGAGCCTGTGCAAAGTGGTTTGCATCTGTCTGTGTCTCTCTTGCAGGGAGGTCCCGGTCACTTATACTTGTTAAAGAACAAAGTTGCCACTTTCGCCAAAGTGGAGAAGGAGGAAGATATGATCCTGTGAGTGGCTGCCTTGTGTTCTGGACTTGCATAGCATTTTTCTGCTCGGTTTGCTCAATGTAGCACGTGGCCGAAGAAGAGAGGTGAAGGGAGGTGGGGTGGCTTGGTGGGAGGAGGAGGAGGCTGAGGGGGGATGTAATAGCAGCTCACAGCTCCTTCAGGGGGAGTTGCGAAGATGACAGAGCTGAGCTCGTTCCCAGGGTGCAGCCCTGGGACAGGTCATGAGAAGGTTTATGCTTTTGTGTGCTGTTTAGTGTCTCTCTGGACTAGAGACTATCAAAAGAGGGGGGAGAAAAAGATTTCCCCTCCTAACAAAGGCTTTGCTAACCACAACATGCACCTCGTTCCTCTGTTGCTCAGAAGTGGCTGAGACAGCATTTCTAAGCAGGCGACTAGTGGCAGAAATGCCAACCATTCCCCCCCACAGCTGTCTCCGATAACTGCGCTCCTGATTGTAGGGGGAAATGGAATTTGTCTCTGCAAAGCCTGCTCAAAGTCCAGCACGTTACTGAGGAGGATTTTCAGGAACATGCCAGCCTGTCAGCTGGGGTTGCTGAGGCAATTTTGCTTCTCCTTGCAGAGAGTTAAGCTTTGCCTGTTTTGCTGCCTGCTTGCTTGTGCTGGCTCAAACTTACTTGGCTAACTGTGCTACGTTGTGGGGGAGAGGATGTACATCAACCTGTTCCTACACAACTTTTTTTGGCATGAGAACTGAGTATTAAAATCAACATCTGTTCAGCGCTCTCATGCTCTGGCACGAACACTGTCAATAAAATTCTTCAGCATGTGTGCGTGTACACGCTTCTGAACAGGCTCCAGGCATAGCTGGTCCGAAGTTGGTAATTCAGGGACCTTCAGAAAGCTGTGAACACATGGTTGAAAACTTGGATGCTTGGAAGCGAATGTCTCCATCCAACCTGAATGTCCCTGGGAGGAAGTCCAGAGAAAAGCTGAGGCTGCGATCTGATCGCAGACCCCACAGAGAACTGCTGGGCTTTAGAGCCCACCAGAAATTTGCTCTAACCCACTGCGCAGGGGAGGCAGTTGTATTTCGTGTCCCTTAGGCACAGTGTGCCTGGTCAGTAGTCGCAAAGCGTAAAGCAGGTCTGGCTGGTGAGCTGGGTAAGATGGAACAGCCGGGTTTGGTGGTGTCTCTCTGGCTATGTGGAAGCACAGCCTCTCTAGCTGTTTTCTGCTGATTTCATGGCCTGGAAATGAACCAGCGTGCTGATAACACTCGTATTTAGAAAAGGCAATTGTTGATAGTATGGGAGAGGAAGTTGGAGGGAACTGCGGCAAAAAGGGGATGCTTAGTAAAACTCTAAAAGCACTCCTGGTGAACTTTTCTCCCTTTTCTTTGGCTTGGAGCTGCCTTGACTCGATGACCTGCTTCCTCCTTCTCTAGCACGTGAGCTGGACCTGCTACTCAGGCCTTTGCTCTGCCTCTGCTCTTCCTTGTCTATGAACCAAGGGCTCTTCCTGAGCAGCTTGCTCCTCGGGGTACAAGCCTCAGGCCCCTTCTGAGCAGTGTGTGCACACACATCCTTGTGATTACTCATGTGTATGAGGAGATAGGCTTTTTTTTAAATTACGTATTCTGTTTTTTCCTGTTTCTTCCAGCTTCTGGAAGAGGTTGAGCCGGCTGATGAGTAAAGTCAATCCTGAACCAAATATCATTCACATCATGGGCTGCTATGTTCTTGGAAACCCCAATGGGGAGAAGGTGAGAGCTTCCCGCGTCGACTCTCTCTTGGTGCTGAGTAGCACCAAGCCTGGGGTGTCAATAGTCTAAACCTTCCTCTTCTGCTGTGTGGAAACACGCTGCCATCCTGTCCCATGAGCGGCTGTGACTGAGCGAACCCCGCTGCGACTGTGCGTTCCCCAGAGGGCAGGAGAGGGATGATAAGTGACATACGGGAAGGGACAGATACTGAAGCCTTTGGGGGAAACAGTCATTCAAAGCACTTTACGTACCGATGAGCTAGATGTTTTAAAGAACATGTACTAGAAGGTTTTTTAGAGTAGGGAACAAAGACGGACAATTCTGGGTGCCCTGGAGTTCATCTTTGCTTTCAGCTGCTAACTCTCTCTTTGTTTTCCTTTCAGCTATTTCAGAATCTGAAAAACTTAATGAATCCTTATAGGGTTGCCTTTGAGTCTCCACTTGAACTATCAGCTCAAGGTAATTTATTTTCTGTACAAAGACACACGTCTTCTTGATCAGCCTGCCTCCTTCAGTGGGCATCTTCATGAAGAAGCAATTTTGAGCTCCCTTAAGCCCTGCCGTGGTCATCCTTTTGCTTGTAACCACCGTGTGTAGTGGTATAGCTTGCTGAGCCTGGGTTTTGCCTTGCAATTCCTCAATGTTCACATTTCTCCCAGTGGCAAAGTACCCTAAACAACAGGCTGCTTTCCAGGCGGAGTTTAGGAGATTCATCGTATTACTAGAGCATATGAGGTTCAGGGAGCAGAACCTGCTTTTCTGTAACCAGGTGTGCAGGGATCTCTTGCTGGTACCGAGTGAGTTGCGCCATTGACAGCACCTGGAACGTAGCCCATTACAGCCATTCTACATCTCAGTCTGCTTTGCTTTTTTCTGCCTGTACATCATGATATTTCAAGGCGCTATAGAATTTTTCCTGTTCTTGGATCAATGTAAGTAATTATGGGTGCAGTTTCATAAGCGACATATAGTTGACTTATTCTGAAGTTGCCATAGTTATTTTATCTTTGCCATAGTCCTTGGTACTTTGTTCTCTGGGAAGATAAATACATGCAGCATTAGGCTATAAGCACTGTGGACACTTCCTCTGCTGCTCACAGCTGGCACCGGCACTGAGGGGTTCTTCTTAACTCCTACTCCCTGTCGTAGGAATGTACGGGAGTTGAGCACATTCGAGCTGCGCAGGGTTCTCTGTGCGCGTCCTGCTGAGGTTTGGACCTAGCTTTATACAGCGCACAGATCCCACAGCGAACGTGGTTGTACGTGCGTGCCAAAAAGCACCTTGCAGGGTTTCCATGCCGCTTGGCAGGCAAGGCGGCAGGTTCTGGGCACGTGCGTTTAAGCAGTTGATCATCCAGGAGGCTGGGCTGAAGAATACGTCTGAATTTATCCCCTTGACCAATCTGGGACGCGCTAATAGTGTAACCTCTCTAATCCTTTGCAAAGTCATCTGAAACTAATCTTAAGCAGGCCTGAAAAGCGAAAATCCCCTCCTTGAGCCCTGTCTTGGAGTCCAGGGTTGTTTGCCCTTGTGTTTTCAAATGTCCTGGGCACGGCCTTCAGTCTGTGACTGCCTTGTGAGACCCCCCCCTTCCATCAGAGGTGCCAGTGCTGCAGGACTTGCATTAGTGTGTCCTGGTGAGCTCCTTCCTGTCAGAAGAGACAGTTCTGCAGGACAGAGACAGCCTGTTAACGATAATTAATTTAGATTAGATCTGAGGCAGAAATCCTTCCCTGTGAGGGTGCTGAGGCCCTGGCACAGGGTGCCCAGAGAAGCTGTGGCTGCCCCTGGCTCCCTGGCAGTGTTCAAGGCCAGGTTGGATGGGGCTTTGGGCAACCTGGGCTAGTGGAGGGTGTCCCTGCCCATGGCAGGGGTGGGACTGGGTGGGCTGTGAGGTCCCTTCCAACCCAAACCAGTCTGGGATCCTATGATTCTACGATTTAAAAAAAAAAAAAAATTTCAATGTTAATTATTTTTAATGTTTTCCACAAATCTTTACAATGAGTTTACTCTTAATTTGTAATTTCCTGAAGTCCCTGCCCCAGGTTGCCTCGTGCATGCTGTTGGAGCTGTTGTTTGATACTCTGCAGCTCCCGGCCCCCCCTTCTGCAGTCAGTGCAGAAAGGTCAAAGTCTGGAGATGGACTTTGTGTTCAGTTCCTGCCCCGGTGGACAAACCCTGCCAGGGGATTATTAAGGAACTTTCATGGTTTGAGAAGGTCTAAAAAAGACATTTCCTTCTCATGGGCACCTTCGCATGCCCTGGCTGAATGTTGGTGTTCTCCAGGCGAGGCATGTGGACGGGTTCTCCTGTGCAGGTGGGTTGGGGTCTTTCTGCTGCTGCAGCCTCTCGGGTCTCTCCCTCGTGCTGCAGGGTGTAACCCCTCTGCTTCGTTTCGCTTCTCCTAGGTAAGCAAATGATTGAGACTTACTTTGACTTCCGCCTTTACCGCCTCTGGAAGACCCGCCAGCACTCTAAACTATTGGATTACGATGACATTTTATGAGCTGGAGAAGACTTTGCAAGAGGAAGTTCATCACCGGTGTCCAAGAAGTCATGCTTATTGCAGAGAGACTTTTTTATTGGCACAGGGAGCCCTTCAAAGCCCTACGGGAGGCAGCAGTGCTAAGGGGAGGGAAGAAGGAGCCCTCAGAAGTGTGTCGGGAGGAAAGTCTCCTGGGTCAAGAGAGACTGGAGGAAAAGGGTTTGACACCTCGCTCGCCTCAGGTCAGAGCTGTGGTGTCTCAGGAGGAGCTGTGTGGAATGAGGACAGGATGGAGTTCCTTGCAGAACTGAGCTGTTTTGGGTCAGAATGGGCCAGATTTGATTCCAGGTCCTTTTAAAGACTTTTGAAGCTCAGGTTTTCTTACAAAAAATAAACCCAATTGCCCATGCACTACAATGAAGAAGTGACCAGAGCACAGAGGAAGGAGGGGGTTGTACTGATGGGACCTTCTGTGCTGGGGATCTTGGAGAGCAAGGACTGCTACACCTACTCCTGCAAGCTTAGATCAAGACGATCCAGTTTCAATGTGAATATATACTGGAACATAGAATTGAAATCTAACTTCTTTTTTTGTTTGTTTTTGTTTTGTTTAATAGAAAATAAGTGCAATTTTTATAGCGAGAGGGGTAAAATCCCTCCCAATATTTAATTAGTTAAAAATAACACACCAGTAACCAATAGATGAGGTATTTTTGGTCTGCTTGAAAATATATTCAAAATGGTAATATATCTTCTGTAGACATATTTAATCACCAGCAAACATGGTTTTAACGTAACTTAGCAGACCCTGCATGTCTGCTGCATTGATTAATCCGGTTTGGTTCGTTACCTTCAGAGTAGCTGTGTTGCACTAATTGTATGTGCTCTCACGAATGTATATTTCTCCTCCAATTAGACACAACTTTGTTACTTTTTATTTTGCTGCTTGCAAAACTATGGGACTTTAGTTTTGCTGAAATATTTTAGGTTAGAAATACGATACCTGGCTGAGAAACCTCCGTCAGGTTCACTACGGTATAAAAATTAATTAGAAATTAATAGCCATGGTAATTACTTGTTCATGCCAGTGTTTTGCTACGTGTTGAGAGACAAGTTCTCTTTCTAGTCTGCTGTGTGGAGCAGCGCGGTTACGCGACCATCGGAAACCCTCCAAGGAGACTGTTCGCTGCGGCATTAGGAAGGAATGCTCCCGGAGGAATACAGCACGGGTTTGTAGCATGAGTTTGAATCTTCCTGATGTTCACTCGATTGCCAGTTTGTTTGTGCATAAACCGCCTCTTTTCCAACGCTAAAGACCTGTTTATTGGTCTGAGCTGCTCACCTCCCTGCATAGGACAGAGTAAAGCCAGAGCTTTGTCAGAGCAGCCGTGCTTTGAGAACCCAGATTTGTACTTGATATTTGAGGATATATATTTTGGAATATATTTGCTTTTTGTTTGTTTAGGTCAGGGGGTTGCTTTTTGTTTTGGGAAGGGGTTTTTTTTTCATCTTCTACTCTCCTGTTCAGAGGATAAATACTGCGTACAGTCTGTGTAGTCACTCTGGCAATTCTGGGAGGCGATACAAGCTATTTCTTTTATAAGCAAGATATACTGGAGAATAACCAGGCAGGATTACCTTGGTTTCCTGATTTCCTGGTATCTAAAATTAGTTAATTGTGAAGTGAAGGAAAATACATGTACAAATCTTCTTTTAAATACTTAAAAAAGAACTAGCTGTTCTGATCTGTAGAGTGCTCCTTGCCCCGTGACATATCTGTGGTTGTAATTTTGGGGAGCAGGCCTCTGCCTAGAACTGCTGAACCCTGTACATTTATAGCAGTTTTATAGCAAACCTTTTGAAGAAATAATGTACATAGAGTAAGGAGAGGAATAGGTGGAGAGAGATGGTTTCAAGTGATTTGAAAGCAACATGTTGAACCCAAAAGGTGTGGGCTGCTGCCTCCCCATCTGGTTCAGAGCTGTTGGGAAGCTGCCCTGCTGCGCTGGCCTGACCTGGGAGGTTTGTACCTACGTCCCATCCCTGGCTGGGCTCTTGTCCTCTTGATTTGGTCGTGTTTCCAGACTTGTAGTGAAGGGGATAATAGGCACCGGTCTGTAGCTTTTGGAAGAAGATGCCAGATACAAAAAAAGAAAACAAAACCAATGCCAATTCTCTATTCTTTAGCATGGTAGCTTCCGCCAGCTGTGCTTGTGAGGCACGAGCTGTACGTGCGATGAAAGCACGAAGTCATGTGTTACCTGGAGAAGGAAATGGTAGTGGCAGGATTAAAATGCTAACACAAAACTCTCCCTTTCTGACCCTTTTACCTCCTATGGTTGTGCTCCTAACTGGAGACAAACTGTTCTTCCTCTCTCTTTTCTAAAGTAAAATCCCAATTCAGTGAACTTGTAGCATGAATGTAGCATTGTGGAACTATTGAAAATCTTATTTAAGTCTGAAAGGGCCCATTTATGTATCCACTTCAGTGATTTCTCTGTAGAACTATTGTATATCTATCCTCATTGACCACTTGTAGGACTAGGGGTGCAAAGTAGAAAGGTAGATTGTACAGTTGTATAACTTCTATAGGAAGATGTATATTTGAATGAACATTACGACTGTTTTACTGGTGCAGTTGACTATAGTATAGTATAATGACAAACGATGAATGCGTTTCTTTTCCAAAGATCTATATTCCTCATAGTTTGTGATGTTTATGACATGAGCATATTATTTCCTTTGTAGCGTTCATTTGACTAAAGAGATGAAATACTCTAAAAGCTGTGGTTGGAAAGACAATAGAGTTTTGATGTTTAAAGTCCCTTGTGCGAATAGCATCAATGAAGTTAACTCTTTCTGAAAGAAGAAAACAAATTTCTTCTTTTTAACTGGTTGAATTTTTCAAGTGGCTGCTGGAAAAGGAAAGGATCAGCAGAGGATAGGGAACAAAAAAAAAAAAATTGTAATTATTTAAATTGTAGAGTTAAAAATAGAGCCTGTAGCTTCCTCAGTTGGACCAGCCTGTAAAGGATGAGCTCTGGGTGTGTGCTCACAGCCAGGATGTCCCCTCCGCAGAGGCTGAGCGCCTGTTCCTTGCACCCCGAGCACCTCTGCAGCATCTTCTCTGGGGCACGCTGAGAGCAGTGCCTGCGGGCACGGCTCTGCGCTCTGCCTGGGGGAGCTGGGGCTGCTGAGCACGGAGCACAATTTGTCATTCCACTTCTACCTGCTTCTCCCAGCCTTCAGCTATGTGCTCTTGGGGCATGTCTGTCTGAAACCCTGAAATTAGTTTGTTCACCCGTGGTCCGTAGCTGCCGTCTGCGCTGGCTCAGTGGAGCTCACCCCCATAAGGGTAACTGGAGCGAGCAGCTACAGTGCGGTTGAGCTCCCGTCCCCATCTGCTCTGTCAGAGGATCGGCAGCCCTGTCGCACCATTACGCTCAGCCCCGCCACGGGGAACTGCTGCTGCAGCCCCTGTGTGCTCTGGATTTGCTTTTAGCAAGGGCAGGAGAAACGGGGATGCTTGGTTAACCCTGGAGAGAAGCAGATTAAATTGGGATGGCTAACTTGGGTGCCAAGCCTGGCTGTGCACCCCAGCCACGTGTGGGAGTTTCTGTTGCTCTTGCTACGGGGCAGGTGAATGTCAGCGGAGAGTGTTATGGCCCAGGCTGGGATCGTCACCTCCAGGAGAGAAGGGTGGGCAGCAAGTGCATCAGCTGGCTCACGTGCTGGGAACAGCCCCCGGCCGTTTTCTCTGGTGCCTGCAGAGAATATTCTCTTTGAGGGAGGTCATCTTGTCTTACACGGGGTTTTCCAGGGAGGCTTTTCTCTTTTCCTCTTGTTTGGCTGGGAAGGAAAGGGAAGAAGAAAATTCAAGTTACCTGAGGGATGTAGAAATAGGTAGAAAATTGAGATAAAGCTTTTTGGACCTCTCCTCATGCTGCAGCCAGCAACTTCCCTTTGCAGCTGACCTCCAGGCCCCGGGGTGGGAAACGGATGAGTTAGCAGATACTTTCTGCATTAAAAAAGAAAACAAAACTAGAAAAATCCTTGTAGCTCTAGCAAAACATCTGACTGTAAAAGGCAACCGGCCAACTCCTCCTGCCCCGTGCAAGGACTCTGCTGTGCGCACCCATGGGGTCCCACCCGCTGCTGCCTCCGAGTGCCTCTAGAGCCGCCCGAGCCGTGGCCGTGGAGGGGCTCCGCTCTGCCGCTGCGCAGGGGACTCTGGAAATGAATTTCTTCTTCGTTTCTCAGCCTGGACTTGTTGCCTGAAGCTCAGTGCAAGTTTCCTATTCCAGGCACTTCTGGAGTACACGTGTGTGTGTGTGTGTGAAGAGACGACACGAACACAGGCTCTTTCCCGTGGTCTGGGGTAGATGCTCCCCCTCGATCGCCCCTGTTCATTTTGCCACGTGCAGTAAAGCGTGAGGCAGTGTTATCGTTCCCGTCCATGCTGTGTTAGCATCTCTCCGGCTCCTGGCACGCAATCGTTTCACAAATAGCTGCTGTTGTTTCAGGACGTGACTGCGTTAGTGACCTGTGGCTGGGAGTTCCTGTTCCCAAGGCTCTGCTGGCAGAGCGACTGCCAACGCTGCTTCGTCACCTTCAGGCAACATAAGTGGGGTTAGTTGAAAGAATGGAAAATGCTCATTTTAGATAGCCAGCCTGGCGGGATCTGGGAATGGGAGCGTGCCCTTAATCCTGGCCCAGACAGGAGGTGGAACGACTGGCTCGCTCTGCTCTTAGTGTACGTGTAAACATTCAACCCATCAAAGCCCAGTTTGAGTCACACATATATTATTAATGCATTGGTCCAGGATAAGGTATGTTACTGTATGGTTAAAAAAAAACCCTTTCAAGGCCCTTGGCAGTTGGCGTGTGTGGCAGAACCACGCATCAAAGGATGTGCTGGGTTGGGTCACCCTTCCTCGAGCCATCAGGCCACACTGCCGGTACCGGGACACAGACTTGCAGGTATTTGTACTCTGGGTTTTGCCGTGACAGTCCCTGGAGCTGATGATACGGCCAGCCCTTCCTGAAGGCTGCCACCCAGATAATCCTCCCAGGGAATATTGAGCGGCAAGATAATTTTCCGCATAATCTGTAAAAAGTTGTTTGTGATCCTCTGTTTTGTCCCACTGATCACAGAGTATCCGTGGCTTTCTGCATCTTCCATGGGATGTTTTTTAACCTCAGCTGTGGAAACACAAGCCAAAGTCAACTGGAAACTGTTAAAGGTCTTGATGACAAGTCAGCCTGCTAATAATATCGTCTGCTTGAGCTGAGTGAGTAAATAGGTGGTTTAATGACCATGAACCTGATTGTGATCATTGTTATTCCCAGGTAATCCTGCTGTGTAATCGGCAGAATTAACAGTAATACACCAGTTTGCTGTCTTTGCCTAAAACGCCAGTGCACAGTCTCTTGACGAGGTTGTGCGTGAGCTATCGAAGAGTGACAGGAACCGGTAGCTGCTTTGATTCAGAAATAAATTTGGCCCAACATACTGCCGATCAGTGGGAAAAACTTAAGAGTGGAAGGAATAAACATTATGGACATTAAATGTAAAGAATCCAGATGAAGGGAAGCTAAATTGCATTTTTCCATAAACATTTAGTAAATTTTGAAGAACTAATACAACCTAATAATTTTTCACGTTATTGTTTTGCTTTTAGAGTATCCTTAAAATTGACATAGGGAAGGACAGATAAACCCATCCAGGGTTGTCTTGTGTTATGCAGTGAGGAGCCAGACTGTGTTAGTTAGTTAATTGGGCGCTCCAGTTCT